TACGTGATAAGTCACGTTATGGTGATCAAATGTGGCTGGTATATGGCTAAACGGCTTGCCTTGCTTTAGCGATCCCCGATATTTGGAAATTTTAGCCGCTGATCTGGCCAAATATTTTTTAAAATTGGCCAAAATACCAACCCTGCTTTAACCGATCCCCATTTGTGTATGATCGGAAAAATTCTATGATCATAGAGGTTATTGTTAAAGGTTAATTTAAAGGTAGGATTAGGGTTAGAGCTAGAGCTGGAGTCAAGATTATATGTAAAATTGTCTTCCCGATTCTTTTTTTTTTAGTGTACCAAGCTAGATTTAGGCATCTGTCTCCCGTATTTTTTTACTTTTTTTGCTTTTTTCATTTTCTTGCGTCGGATTTGTTTGCCGGGTTGATAAAAAATTTACGCATTTTTATTGGTTTGTGCCATCATTAGCACGTGATCCGACCCTTTTTTGTCATGACTAGGGTACTATGATATTATGAAGTTACGTAGGCAACATTATTAGCGAATGCAAAATCTAATGTATAACAATAAGCGATGACGAATTCGCAAACGATGATAATTTCAAAAGTTATGTGTAATTTGTCTTTTTAATATTGCTTATAAAAAGTGCGTAATTGAATAAATGATATTATCAATAATGCGCTAGGTAACAAGTAAATTTTATAAATAATAAATATGTAAATACAGAGAAGTGAACGTTAATGTTAATAAACAATAGAAACCACCTTTTCTAATGTAATTCATAAATACTAACAAAGAGCATGATATTGAAGTGTTCATCATGAAGTTGTAGTTGTTCTTGAAAGAAACTTATATATCTTTATTCTCGTTAGTATTAGCTTCGTATAGTAAAATCGAAAGCAATATTGTAATAACAGAATGAACATGAAGTTAATAAATCATTTCATTTGCTTCGTTTGGAACATACGATACGAACGGAGACTTGTAGATTTGGTATCAATATTTTACGCTAGAAATGTCTGCAAACAAGTACGTATTTTTAATAAATTGATTAATTTACTAGTACAGTATTTTCTGATAACGATAAAACAATATATTAAATAGTAATTTTACCTTCATTCGGAACATACAAACTGACACTTGTAGATCCTAAACATTTTGCATAAAATTTAATTACGTACATGTAATATCGATATGAAATGTCAACGTGAATTTATCTAGAGATGTACGTACCTGTATCATTTGAAATTGAAATTGATTTTTTGGTAAAGATTCGACTAGCGTAGATTGCGTTTGGGTGAATTTTTTGTTCTTCGTCCGTATTTGTAAGCATGCTTTTCTCTTGACCATTCTTATCGAATTCTATGTCGAGTTCTTTTAATTTCTGCTTTTCTAGTTTATGAGACTCAATAATTTCTTCATGTGTTTTTGGAAATTCTAGGGGACTGTAGTACTGAAGATGCAAAGTACTCGGTTTCCACGCCTCGTCCGAACCATACGAGTTGAGAAAGTCGTAAAGCTCCTCGGCAGTTGGTCTGTTTTCCGGAATAGGATCCCAACATTTTTCAATAATAAATTTGCACCATCCAGGAATAGTATTTGGTATCTTAGGTCGTACTCCTTGATATATGTCAGCTACGAGATCTATGTCATGACTTCGCTCACCGAATGGTCGTTCACCTGTTACAATCTCGTATATAATCAGCCCAAAGCTATAAATATTCGAAGCTTTAGTGCATGGCTCTCCATTTAGCACCTCTGGACTAATATAAGGAAGTACTCCGCGGATTTCTTGATCAGATTTTTGCATATCTGCTGGGCCGGTAAGATTAAAGTCGGCAATTTGAGCGCCACCATACAACAAGATATTTTCAGAATGTAATTCATGATGCACAAATCCTTCTGTGTGAATTGTTATCAGTCCCTTGAGGATATCATTTAAATAAATTAATGTTTGCTCCCAATTCAATCCTTCGTATTTGGAATTATTAGTATATTTGCGAAGGCCACCATTATATGCGTAGTCCATTACTAACGAATATTTATTCGTAGCTGGGTTTTTAGTTATTCCATAATAACCGCCATAACTACACTTTAGAGCAGTCTGAATCTATTTTGAAAAAAAAAACTTGTTTATATTCGAAAATAAAAAAATGCATCTTGTTTACACTTTAGAAATGGATCATTCTTACCTCGTTCATAAATCCTAATGTAATTTGGTTTGATGATTTTAACACAACTTCGCGTTCTCCGGATCGTTTAAATTTACTCTCTCTATGATCCCACTGGGCATATAATGGCCCGTCCAACCAGGTTGCTTTATAAATTATTGCAAGACCTCCTTTTGCAAGATATTCAATATTGGTAAATCTTTCATAAGGGATCCATTCAAAAAATGCATTAATTTTCGCGCATTCTTTTATTAGACTGTCGATATCTTTATTTTCACAAGACCATTCAGCTAAATAGAGTTTATTGTGATATGCAAAACATCCATGACAGTACTGATTTCTTTTACAACGAGGACATTCTTTACAATCATGAGCGCTGTGATTTGAACATTTATCACAGTAAGAATTATATCGACAGTCGGAACATTTACTACAATCATGAGTATCAGATTCCATCTTATGAAAATGAGTTAAAATGTTTTTAGCGACTATGTGCTTTGTTTTATATGTACGTATTTAAAACTTTGAAATCATAGTAATGCTGTGTTTTATAACGTACATATTTATTTAAAACGTTAAACGATGGTGGTGAAACAAGATGTACTAAAACGAAAAACATCGAAATAAACACATGCAATACTTTATACGTATTCTATAACGATAGCATTTTACACTAATAACTTATGTGCTTTTTATTGGAACGCTTATGATTTGGTTGCTTTATTATAGCATTTATCTACTTATTACTAAAAATTTTTATATAAGTTTACCCACATATTATATAAGTTTATCTAAATATTACATAATATAAGTTGACCGACTGATTATATAGCAAATTTATAACGACAAATTATGAAGAGTGCTTTATTTTGATTTAAGTGAGTTTCTTAACAAAAAAAAAATCGGAAAGCGTAACGGTAACACGATAAGTATTGTTAAACAAAATTGTCAATAACGGTAACAACACAACAATGAGCAATTTTAAATTTTACCAACACTAAATATTTATTTAATGTATGACATCATGTTAGAAAAAGATATTTCATGCACAAACACACCAATGAAAAGATATTGATATGTGCATCCATTATAAATACAGTACGTATAAAGTTCTTTGTACGTACGTGTACATGTAACAACTTTTTTTTTAGAATAATGTCACACTGTCAGACCTCGATTTAACAATGGGTTGGGACGCTATCGCTTGAACTGAGTATGGCAATAAAAATCGTGGTTAATCACTAGGAGTTCAATTGATAACGATAATGGATGCACCTTTGACTTGGTAAATTCAAGAAAATCGACATGTTTCGCAAATTAAATATATCAGCTTTGGCAACGGACGGAGAAAGGCAAATATAATTAAAAAACATAACAGATCAAAATTCTTTCACAAAGAATAGCAAATAAATGGTTTATTCTAAATCGTGTTATCTTTTTTATTCTACGTATATGCGAGCAACACTCCACAATGGTTGTATTTTCAAGAATTTAGAGCATACGTGACATTTCCTACGAAATTCTTTTAGTATTTTCTGATAATGCGAAACCATCAAATTAATGTTTTTTTGTAAATTTTGGCTAGCGTAGAATGACCTGTAAAAGAACCTGACGAGAAACAGACGTATGGCGCATAACGTCTAAAGTCATCAAATATTTGTATTTATAAAATGGATAAACTTTGCTAAGAAGTAAACACCAAATTTATTCCGTGGATATGCTCAGAAAGGGCCTATTCTATCATATTCACGGATTAAATTTTTTAATAAAAATGTTTATCCATTTTATAAAATACAAATGTTTGATGACTTTAAATGTTACGTACCATATAATCCAAGAAATAACTTTCAAAATTAGAAAATTTTTATATGATTTTGACTAAATTTAATTATTTTTACAAAAATTTAATAGCATTAACAGTAGTTACAAAACTTAATTTTAATCTCTTTGTGGACTACTCATTATATTAATTATATTTATTAAATGATTAGTGCAATAAATAAGAAAAGGAAATCAACTCATTCGTCATCCTCTGAATCGTAATCCGGACACATGCCATTTAACCCGCCACAAAGGCCAGGTTCTGATGGATTATATCTACAGAAGTTTGCAGCCGTGATCGCTTTTTTAATAGATGCGTCAGTATTACTATCAAGATTATTTGAAGAGATAGCTTTGCATTTGGTAATTAGTTCGTCAATTGCTGGGAAATTGCCAAAGAATTTTTCGCGGTGTTCAAATGCTATGCCTCTTGAACCAGGATACACGATGTAGGAACCGCCAAGAATTCGACCTTGACCTTTGAAATTACCTCCGACCTGTTATTTATATTGAAACATTATTAGTACAGTGAAACATCTTTAGAAAAAATAAATAAAAAGGAATGATCAAACATACAATTTTGCGTCCATTCAAGTATTTTTTCCACACCGATGATCGAAGAAAGTTTGTTGTCCCACTCCATTTAAGTTCTCCTCCGCTGTTGAATAAATTCAAAAAGAAATTTCAATATTAGCTAAGGACGGTCAAAAAAATATAAGAGTGTTTAAAATTCATATTTACCCGAGCGCACGATAAAATCTTTTTTCTTCGTCTATGAAGACATCACCTTTCCAGAAACCGTCATTGAAATCTTGCACTTCAGTATCGATTTGCTCTTGAACAATTGCGATCATTTTTATCCCCTGTTATTTTCGATTAACGAAATCAGATTAGGAATCTATATAAAGTCTGTTCGAACACTTAAGTGACCATGAATGCTTGCCATTTTTTCCGTGATTAATTCACGATGTGATGCCAGTTTCAAAGCTTCGTTACGACATATTGCACATCCAGGACGACGAACTGAATTTTCAACGAAAAAAAGTGAATATCGATATATGTCAAATTTTGATTAATAAAACAATTTACCAACTAGGATCAGCGCTGCCGAATCTTTCCATAACGAATTCGCTGTAACCTTTTTATCTCTTGCGAAGTCATAAAGTTCGATATCTTTGATAGCACTGTAAGGTGTGTTGATAGCAGGTGATGTTTTTGTATTCATTTTGTTTGGTTTATTAGACTTGAAAAGCGACAAATTGACAATATATATATACAGTTTGAGGCAACTATTTTTGGAATCATGACAAATCAAAAGTTTCATGTGTTACATTGTTAATACGTAATTTAATAATTGTTCGCATACGAATCGATCGAACATGGTTACCAAATTAGTAAATGGTATACCGATATTGAGATACACATGTTACGATATAACTACGTAAAAAGCTGATCTGTTTTACTGAACCAAATTTCAAATTTCCTAATTTGGATTCTGAATTTTCATTACATCCGATTATAGTCATGGTAAGGGTAAGGTATTGGGTGAGGAAACAAGATTATATGTAAAATTGCCTTCCCGACATTTTTAATTAATAGTCCAAGACAGATTTATGCATCAGTTTTCTTGTAATATCACTTTTTTTCATCGCTTTTGAGTCGGATTTGTTTTACCGGGTCGATCAAAATTATTGGTCCTATCGGATGAATTACAGATTAGGAAATTTGAAATTTGGTTCAGTAAAACTGGTCCGTAAAGCTTGATTTAGTAATCAAAAACAATTTTGTTTGATTTTGAATCATCGTTAAAAACAATCCAAAGCTTGGAAAGCTTTGATCTTCAATCTGTAAAATTGAGAATGCTTACAAATATCGCTGTGACCGTACTTCATAATCGTTGTATACGCGTATGCTAAACTCGATACATATGCAGTACACGTACATGTATAACGATAATGATGACTAATTAAACTCGATGTGCGTGGTGACAACTTAAAAATCTTTAAAAAATTTTTTCGATATACGATATCGAGTTTGCATTACAATATGGTGTGGTAGTGGATGGGAATTAGTTAGACGAAAGCAAGTTAGTTGATATATTAAAGAATAGAGTAAGTTTGTTTGTTTGTTAATTTTATGGTTTATTTCGTCGAAGAATGTTTACATACTTTTAAAGTTGGAGCAGCCAAACTTACAATTACTATTAAATTTAATCTAATTATACATAAATGAAGGTCAGATGGTTATTTTTCTTATTTCAAGGTCAGTTTCTGAGAATGTGTAGACCTATATACTGAACCCTATGTCTTTTTCAATTTGATGTTGATTCGATAAATGTATAAAGTTTGTGACCAATATTTAACAATACTTATTAAAAATATCAAAACATTCAATTTGATTAAACGAGTAGACAATTTGACTTAAACATTATAACATGGTAAATATTTGAACCAAAAAATTCACATATGCTTTTATAAGATAAATTATTTAGTAGATAAAAACAATTCGAATTATATTTATTTCTCTTTATTGCATATTAAATTTTTTTGTAATCATATTTTTTTGAACATTTTTTACCTATTAAACTTTTATATACATTATTTTTTTATACATGTATTCCAAAGAATATATCTGTTAACGTTAATTCCCTGTCGCACTGAGTGTCACTCATGACTACCTTCATCATAATTTTTCACACATGATTAACAATAATTATGTAATTCATAAATATTACCATCCATGTATTCTTAGATTTATATTTCTCGATGCTTGCTGGAATTCTAAAATCGCTTCTTTAGTTGACGAAACAAATCGGAGTCAGATTTTGGCATTTTTTTTTTTTGATTCTATTACTTTTTTTAGAAAGTTTATGATAGTTAATTACGTGTATTAAATTATGACGACGTATGGTGCACCTGGCTTAGTCACGCTGAAAATTTTGCAGGTCATTACTTATAAAATTGAATAAGATTGGTCAGATTTATAAGTGAGATTATTTGTTTATATTATATTAATGCTGAAATTTTAATATATAAAATAAAATACGTTACTTATAGTACTTATCAAAAACTATTAAATGATGCATTTTTTTTACATTTAAAGTTTATATAAAAAACCCTTTGCAATTCAAAATATTTGATGTGACTAAGCTGGGCGCACTATAGTCAGATGATGAACATTTAGTGACACGCGCCTGAGGATTACCTATTTATTCCCTCCCCCAAATGAAATAAATAATACAAATTTTACACTAATTTAATATTTTTTCACCAAATTATAGTAAATTATAAGCAACAATTTTTTTGCAACACACTATTAAATTTTTAAATCAATTTATAGGGATTATTGTATGATGAAAAAATCAGCAAAACTAAGCTGGATAACTATAAAGATAATTTTATTATGGAACGTATATATTAAATACATTCATGTTGTATTTAAAAAATATATAAAATTCTTTTCAAGTTGAATATCAATTCAAAATTCTTCCATAACCTCTTCGGCGATATCTATACCGATCGCCTCTACGATATCCCCTACGTTCATAGCGATCGTAACGACGACGGCGGTAATAGCGGTCATCATCATCATAACGACGACGATAGGCGCCTCGACGGTCATCGCCGATACGAGATTCTTCTAATTCAATTTCTTAAATGTATTTGTAGAGTAATAGAAAAAATAAAAAAATACGCTAACAAAAAAATACACAATGCTAAATAGAAATTTCGAAATTACCGTGATCTTCTGGTAAAAGTTCTGCAACTTCATTTTCAAATTCATCGGGATCTATGTCTGCATATTGAACCAAATCTAGGTCTGTATATTGGAGAGCATTATCGGGTTCTAGATCTGTGAAAGCATCATCGGGTTCTAGATCTGCGAAAGCATTATCGAGCTCTGGATCTGTGAGAGCATTATCGAGATCTACGTCTGTATATTGGATGGTATTACCGGAATAATCGGGATACGATGATGGAAGCTCGGTTTGATTTTTCATTTGAGTATCAACAGACTTTGTTTCATTTTCGAACTTCGATAATGTTGGTAATGACGTTGCATTATCAACGAATACTTCGATAAAGAAGGAAATAAAAACAAGAGTTAAAAAGTATTTCATTTGTTATTATTTATTTTATTGTGAGTGTATTTGTTTGGAATGAAATGAGTGCAGACACCTGTGCTGGTTATATAGCTGTTGAAAGTGAATTAATCATTTTTAAAATCTTATATATACATATTTATCTTTTATTATATCGTAATTTCTTTATGCATATTTATCTTTTAGTATATCGTAATTTCTTTATGTATATTCATCTTTATAATTTTAAGTTTATTATATTCCAGAAATGCGCGTTTTTCTAATTAATCAAGTCCTTTACAAGAAATCTGAATTTATGCAAAACTTTCCAGTATTAGCTTGAGATATAGGGCATGATGAACGATTTAATGAATCTTCGATAATTGATGCCTTTTATTGCTCTAAAAAATACAGCTTGACATGAAAAAAAACCTATCATGTGACCAAAAGGCGTATAACCCCGTTAAATAAATCAACTTGCATAGAAAATATAGAATAAAGTTTCTAAAAAGTGTTCCCAAAGCTATAGATTGGCCGTCTAATAGCCCAGACTTAAACCCTATTGAAGCATGAAAATAATAGCGAAAATCTGATTTTATGGGGATCGAATTTGCATTTTGATTAGTACCCTATTGTTTGTGTAACCGTTAAATGTAGCTATGTACATGTACACTCCCCTGACAAAAATCACCAGTCAACGGTCAAATTTTGTGACGATTCGCAATTCAAGCGAAATATCAAATTGTTCTTTTCGCGTAATTGTTAAATATTCTTTGAGAGATTTATATAGTTAGTATATCTTAACCCATCCTTTATAAGTATGTATGTCAATTGTTTTTTTGTTTTTGTTAGTAATTGCTTCACAATGAAACAAAAACGAAAAGAACTGTCTGAAAGTGAACAAAGTCAGATCGTTGGTGCTTGGCGATGTAATACTGTTCTCGCTAATTCAGGATTGTTATATTAATGAATTAATGAAAGAACAAAGACTGAATAATTTTTGATTAATGGGGTTCACTAAAGGTTCTAAAGGTCTCCTGTGATAACTTGTATGCAAACTAACTTACTACCAAAAATAAATATAGGGACAAAGAGGGGAATTAAAGAAAAGGATATAATAAATTAAAATAAAATAGAATAACTATTAAAGAAAATAACAGGACTTATTGGAACTGCCTAATGAAATAAAAAGATTAATTGGACTTTGTCTAAAAGTAATAGTGTATTTACAAGTATAATATTATAAATAAGAACTTAGTTATTTTTATTAGATTAGAGTATGAGAGTTTCTAGTGATGAGAGACTCTTTTTTTATATATCTTCAATAGTTATTTTGATTTCTATAATTATATTACTATTTATAGACAATACTAAATAATACTAAAAGAGAACAAAGATTGAAAATTAAATGAGAATTTACACAAGATAAAGAAAAGAAAATACAAAATAAAATTAATATGAATTTGAGTAATTAAAGATAAGAGAAATCATAAAGACACAGTAAAAAGAAAGATTCTAAAAAAAACTTGAATAATACAAAATAAATTATAAGGGATAACAATATTAAAGATAAAGATAAAAATAGTAATGAGAATAAAGATACAAATGAGAAATAAAATATAATTAGTTAAAAGATAATGAAATTCGAATTAAGAATATTTTTGTTGGGGATAAAATATACCAATAGCAATAAGAGAAGAAAAATACAAAAAAAAGCAAAAAATGAAAAGAAAGTAAAAATAAATATTAAATTATATAAAAAAATGTAATTCATTGATAATTAAATTAATTATCAATCAAAAAAGAAGTGATATTTATGAAAATATGATTGTGTAATATCAAATTTGACTGTGTAATACATGTATCAAATTAATACAAAACTTGCTTGTATAACATCAAATTAATATGATTGAGCGAAATTATGATATACCATAATTTATGACACCATAAAAATTATTGAATTATGAAATTTTTGTTGTAAATGGTAACAATACATCTATTTCTACTATTGTAGAAAAACTTGGATGCACGAAATCAACAGTTCAAGATGTGATTACATATTATAAGAATTCTGGAGAAATGAAACCTCCTGCTCGAAGCGGAAGACCATCTACTTTGACTAAACGTGATACGCGACATTTATTTCGCATTATCAAAATGATAGAAAAGTTACTTTAAATGTTTACAAAATGAATTTTTGCAATCTACGTCCACTGAAGTTTCTACACGCACTATACAACGGTATATTCATAATGAAGGTTTTTTTGCCCGGATTGGCAAGAGAAAACAATTTGTTAGTGAAAAAAACCGAAAGACTCGTCTTGCATGGACAGACGAAAGGCTACATTGGAATTCTGAATGGAATTCCATGAATCTCGGTTTGAAGTGTTTGGAGGTGATGGCCGTAGTTATGTTTGGAGACTTCCTAAAATATGATGTAAACTGTCTTATACCAACATTTAAATCTGGTCGGTGAGGTATAATGATTTGGTGATGTTTTAGTTTAAACAGTTTGGGTCCGCTAATACGACTTGATGGACGACAAAATGCAAATAATTATATAGAAGTTCTTAATAATCATTTATTACCATATTTAGAAAATCTTAATCAACAAAATTAATATCTTTTTCAGGATGATAACGCGCCAATTCATTGAGCAAAGAAGTGTGCAAAAATGGATGTCAGAAGATCACGTAACTCATCTTCCATGGCCACCCAGAGTCTTGATCTCAATCACATTGAGAATCTCTGGGATGAACTAGAACGTCGGGTTCGTAAACGTACTCCACTACTAACTAATGAGACCGAATTGTTTAATTTTTTGGAGGAGTGGTTTAAATTAGATGAATCTATTTACTATAATCTTATAAAAAGTATGCCTCGTCGTCAAAAACACTAAAGGCAATCACACGAAATATTAATTACATAAATAATAATGGAAATATTTAGCTTTAAAAAAATTCTATTTTAAAAAAAACTCGCAAGTTTTTAAAAATCGTAAAAACAAATTTCTCTTGAATTGCGGATCGTCGCCAAATTTGACTGTTGACCGATAATTTTTGTCAGGGGAGTGTACATGTATTGTTGCGTCTCACAGTTAAAGAGGGGTTTTTTCGCAACTGGGATAAGAGCTATACTAAATTATTTACGATCAAAGGGTTCTTTGGGTGTTCTAAGGGTTTCCTGTGGCGACTTGTACGCAAATCGACCTTTTTATTATTAAAGGCGTTTTTAAAAAATTACTTTTTATAACGAAAATCAAATCGATTCAATAATAAAATCTTATTCTATTCAAAATAATTGTAAACATAGCAGGACTTATTGATACGGCCTGATCAAGGAAAAACTTAATATCAAAGTAAAACAAAATTTCAATTCAACAAAATCAACGGCTTATTTAGAGTGGAGGAGCATCCACTACTTGCAATTTCTCGCAAGGTTTGAAGTTTGATCATAAAACAAAAGAAAATAATAGTGTATTCACAAGTAATATTATTACTCCGAGTAAGAACTTTGTTATTTATTTTGATCAAAGCATGTCTTCTCAGAGACCTAAAAGTAATTATATATACAGTTTCGAATTACTACGCTAATTCTAAGGTTAGTGTTTTACATTGATTGTTTCTCTTGAAACTTTCTAAAAGTAATTAACCAATGATCATTTCATGACACAAGAAAAAAAAGGTAACTGTAATGGCCATGAAATATTTCTAAATTTGGCTTAATTTTTGGAAGGATTATCATGTAGGAAATCATAGAATTGAAGAATTTAATGTCACTTTGGTAACAGTATATCGATTTCCAAGTACATGTATAAGGCAATTGCTAAAAATGCACAAAATTTAGTTAGGTATCTTAATTACATATTTTTTTATACTTATATTAGATTAGTAATAAAAATCTTAAATCTCAAAGTTTTTTTGATAGAAATTTCAAGTTATTTGATCAAGATTAAAGGATTTTATTTACTACATCAGGATCAGGAATGAAGATTTTGAATAAATAAAACAAACTATAATTTATAGCTGTATCAAAACAATATTTAGATAAAGTTTCAATCTGTTATACAATTAGGCTTGTATGAAAAGGAAAAATTTATTCAAGACAAACCCGATAATTATTAAATCAAGCTAAAAACTAAATTTATCACAAATAAATTTATTATAAAACGCATATACATGTGTGAGAAAATATATCTAACTTTTCAAGTTTAACATCAATTCAAAATACGATCATAACCTCTTCGGCGATATCTATACCAATCGCCTCTACGATATCCCCTACGATCATAGCGATCGTGACGACGACGATAGTCGCCTCGACGGTCATCGCCGCGACGAGATTTCAATTTCTTGTAGAGTAATAAAAAAAATAAATGAATTTTTTAAAATACGCTAACAAAAAAAATACACAATGCTAATAAAAGTCTCGAAATTACCGTAAAAGTTCTGCAACTTCATTTTCAAATTCATCGGGATCTATGTCTGCATATTGAACCAAGTATAGGTCTGTATATTAGAGAGCACTATCGGGTTCTAGGTCTGTATATTGGATGACATTATTGGCATAATCGGGATACGATGATGGAAACTCGGTTTGATTATTCATTTGAGTATCGGCAGATTCTGTTTCATTTTCGAACTTCGATAATGTAGGTAATGACGTTGAATACTTTGATAAAAAAGGAAATAAAAACAAAAAATTCCATTTTGTTATTTTATATTATTTGTGAGTGTATTTTGTTGAAAGTAATTAATCATTTTAATTCCTTTATGCATATTTATCTTTTATTATATCGTAATTTCTTATAACTTAAGTTTGTTACATCTGGGTTTGAATGAGACAATTTCCTCTACATATTCTGCATAGACTTGAACTTTATGCTCCCATTAATCGAGCAATGATGTCCATATACTCTCAGCCTGTAGTGACTTTGGCCAAGTAAGAGGATCCTTGTTTATAAGAAATCCAAATTTATGCAAAACTTTTCAAACTATAATTTATAGCTGTATCGTTTAGGCACCACGTCTTAATGCTGTACGGCTTTAATAATTTAGGTATTGAATGATAGAATCCAAGTGATTTTAAGTATTACCGTATCCTGTCGGAAATAAGCACCACTCAATCGAAATATTTAGGGTCCAAAAAATGGATGGTGGTGTTTATTCCCCCGGACATGTCTTGTAACACGGAAATTGTATGACAATGACCAATTTAATATCGAATATAGCGATAGTGGTGGTGTTTATTCATGGTTTTACTACTTTTTGAATGAGATTAGAGTGGTGTTTATTCACGATAAACTTTTGTTGGCGTTGGGATGTTATTCGATGATCGTTGTATTTTCTTTTACTGTAAATTTGCGTCTATAATATCTTTTTTTAGTACATGTAGCACTTTTTTTTACATACATGTAATAAAGTATTTATCGCTATTGCTGATAAATTACTAAAAGGGCAATGACACGAATTTCTTACATTTCGTCTTATTTGGTTATCGTTATCGTTATTAAAAAAAGATCATCCCTTCATTGCCACAGTTAATACGTATAGAAATTTTGCGAGTACTGTTACCGTAGTAACAATAAATCCCTTAATTCCGCAATAATGCTCAACTAATTTCTACATGAAAATCTTACCGTAAACACTTTAGCGATCCCCCACGAAAATCCTAATTATTCCGTACCGATCGCATTGTCAACCAAAACAGGAAATAATTCATTCGAATAATTTTCCATTTTCTTTCACCTTCACAATATTTTAATGGATCAGTGTTATCTATAGCAAAGAAACAATCAAACGATTATTGTTCAATTCTTTCTAGAAGATTCACAATCAAAGAAAATACTAACATTAGAATTAGCGTAGTAATTGGCATAGTATCCCATAATTAGTATAATAACCTGAAAACTGTATAAATAGAAGAAGTGTAAAAAGACATGCTTTGATCAAATAAAATAACAAAGTTCTTACCTGTAATAATAATATTACTCATGAATACACTATTATTTTATTATTTCTGGTCAACTTCAAATCTTGTGAGCAGTTACAAGTAGTGGATGCTTCTCCACTCTAAATAAGCCGTCGATTGTGTTTTTGATATTGATTTTCCTTTGTCCAGGCCGTATTAATAGGTCCTGTTAAATTGTTTTTCATTGAATTGTTTTGTTAAATAGGCCGTACCAATAAGTCCTACTGTGTTATATTAATTAAATTGACTTTTGGATTATTCCCTTTTTTATTATACTATTGTTTTCGTCCCCTTACTTTTTTAACGTCGATTTGCGTACAAGTCGCCACGGGAAGCCTTTAGAACACCCAAAGAAACCCTTTACTCATAAAGAATTCAGTCTAGCTCTTATCCCAGTTGCGTAAGAACCCCTCTTTGACCGATTAAAATAGTAGCACGCAACAGTACGTAAAATGGTAATGAAAATGATAATGAAAATGATAATGAATTTTTTTATCGCGAAGATTTGCATTATTACATGTGCTAATAATATCTTGAGTATTTGAAAGAAAGTATGGTGAGAAAACAATTAGAAATCTCACTTAAAGATGTTCTTGATTGTGTAGAATGTTGTCTTGATCGTGAGAGTCAAGAAATATGTGATGGTTTGAAAATGTGTAATGGTTGAGAAATGTGAGAATGATCTTGAAAATCTATTGCTATTTGTATTAAAATAAATAAATACTACGTATATTACAATTAGCATTAGATAAACACAAAATTAATTAAATAACTTATGTGTAATCTTTTTATTTAAAGTATTGTTTAAGAGTTGGCATGCTAAAATACAAGAAATATTTATAAGAATAATAATTTATATAACTTATAATTTTTATAATTAATAACAAATAAAATACCTCTATCATAATTCTTCTCTTCAGAATCTAAATAGTTTATGTTATTACCAGGAAAGTAATCAAATTCTTCATAAGAAATATTATCAAAGTCTAACAGAATTAGTATAGCTATATTATGCAGTTTTTGATCTTTATTAGAATTATTATATATATGAATTTTTTTGATATTATACAAGAGTTTTCTATATATTTTCAAGAAGAACAATATATTATTATTAATTATTACATAAATACTTTTTTATTGTAATAATTGTGCTATAACTAAAAGTATAATAGCTTATATATATAAGAAGTTATATATATAATAAAATATTCCAGTAATTATTAATAATTTATATTATATAATACAGAGGCCTTCCAGAATATTGTGAACACTTTTTAAAATACAATAACACAAAAACTAATAAAAAAGCAAGATTTATGATTCTAAGCTAATAGAATCATTGAAACATATTGTATATTGTATCAAAA